CCACAACGCCCGGCCATTTTTTGGTTGCAGCCGTCATTGTTGTTTGGCGGGCCCGGGCTGGGGATTCGAACCCGCCGCCTTAGGTGTACACGGCTGGCGCCTTAGCCGGTTGAGCTATAGGAGCCGAGCCGATAAAATCTTGAAAGATCTTTTCACCCATCAAATTAGGGGGGGAAATGTTGAAAACGAAAGTAAGTGTTGGCAATTTAACAACTTGTATCAAAAATTTTAAAACCTTTGACCTAGCAAATTTACTTCTAGAACTCTATTCTAAATAAATTCCAGCACAGCTGTACAAAGATATCTGCACAGAGATGTTTCCTTGCAGCAAAATTCATAAGTGCAAAAAATTAGAAACAAGCTAACTGCCCTTGACTAAATATAGAATATTATGGAGCCATAAAAAGGAGATAAGCCAGGCACAGTGGTGCATGCCTATAATCCCCCCGCTGCCTGGAAGGCTGAAGTCGTATCATCACTTGAGCCAAAGAGTTTGAGGCTAGCCTAGGACATATAGCAAGACCCCAACTCTAAAATTAGGTAGGTAGGTAGGTAGGTAGGTAGATAGAACTAAATTAACTAAGTTAAAAATAAAAATAAATTTTATAAAAGAGACAGACATATTACAAGCTAATATTTAAGTCATACTCTCAAGTAAAAGCCACTAGTCCCAAAACAATTCATGCTATACTATCCCATTTTAGAAGTAAAAGATAAATATTTGTACATGTATTATAATTTTAAAATCCACAGAAAGAAGCACAAAAGAATGTTCAATTGCTAACAGCTGTACCCTGCAAGGGGTAGAGTGAGATGGAAATCAGAGGGCAGGACTTTGGTACCTTGCTGTACACACTGTTGTGCTCTATGTATCCTTTCTAATAAGAACATATTTGTGTACAATTTATAGTTTTTCTAAATAAAGACCAGAAATTACAGCTTATTAAAAATGAAATAAAAGAAAATGGAGCTAGGATAATACTCATAGCTACAGAGAAAGCAAGAAAGGCCCACTGATAAATCCCTTATCCTGGCTCTCTCCTTACCCCTCCTTTTTAACTTCATGTAGCCACTCACTACCCATCTGATGGCCACATCCCTTCTTCAGACACACCACAATGTACATGATCAGATTATAGCTTTCTTTGCCCTAAGAATATCTCCAACCACCACACAGCCCTTTCCAAATTCCCCAAGTAGAAATGAGCTTTCTAAATATCCATCAGCCACCTAAAGAAACCATTTCTAACTGAGCTTTCTAAATATCCATCAGCCACCAAAATAAACAATACAAATGACATCTTATACACTTACATGCACACAGAATTCAACGCAGTTTTTTAACAAAGATAATTTAAAATAGCCTAGTTTTTTCCACAACAAAATGTGAAAACCTGAAAATATTATTTTAACAGAGATTGTGATAAAATCTCAAAAGAATTTTAGCAAAACTATCACGTCAATACAGATAAATCAGGATTGGCTATCTAAACAAAGTATGCTGTACACTTTCGGCACAGTGAAATCTAACCCTTTTAAGTAGTGACATCGGATTCCACGTTCTCAATCTTCTCACCTTTCCAAAAGCAGATGCTCCAGCACAGATGTGTGTGTAATTGAACTGCTTCTGAGTTGCTAAAATCAGTGGCGTCAACTCCTCTGAGAATTAAAAACAATTGATAAAACACATTTCATAGTATTTTCATATTCATTTATTTATAACTTAGACACCACATTTTCCCAACTGGAAAACCTCACCTGGAAGGAGGCCTTTGTATGCATCATGTTGAGCCACTAGAACTTTTGCTACACCTGCTACTTTACAAAGATCTTGTGCCACCTGTATTAAAAGATACATTCCTAGTTATCCATCTATCATATACATACAAATAGAACTACCACGACAAATTTCAACAGAGCATAAAATCTTAATGACTAACTGCAAAAATCATTCTTATTAGCAAAAGGGTTACTTATAGAGTTAAAAATATTCCCCTAACAAAGAATACCTTATGTCAATTGATCTTACTTCCAATTGACCTTATATAGTCCCCCTACAATGGATTTCAACAAAAATTCCTCCCTTGAAAAAGAAAAGTACTAACTGACAAACCAAAATCAACATGGCTTTTTACCCAAAGTTAGTTGTAAACTGTGTTCTTTATCTTTGGTTCAATGCAAGTATATGTTCATCATTTTAGAAATAGTGAAAATGGGGCTCTCTCTCCCTCAATAACAATACAGCATTACACTTTACCAGGCATCCTCAAACTATGGCCCATGGGCCACATGCGGCCCGCTGAGGACATTTATCCGGCCTGCCAGGTGTTTTTGCCACCGCTGCCTGTCCTGCTTAGCAGCGGACTCGTCCTGGGGCCCACAGTCCGGCCCTCCAATGGTCTGAGGGACAGTGAACTGGCCCCCTGGTTAAAAAGTTTGAGGACCCCTGCTTAAAAAGTTTGATGGACTTAGGGTTTCCCAGAGGTGAAGAATAGGACTTGGCCACCGTACTTTATAGTCCATTACACTTGACTTAGCAGTAATAATTTCTGCTGATACTAAAATTAATAACCCTAGTCAATAGAGAAAATTGTATGTTAAATACTGAGTTCCTGCCCACATACATATGTTTATCTATGACAAAGCAAAATGTTTTCTATTTCAATCCCTCATTTTTCTGTTTGCAATCAGGATGGGGTTCCGAGAAAGCTCTCTGACCACTCAGATTTTCTGTATACAGAAGGCAATTTGACTGCCCCCTTTTCCAGTACCTTTAATACAGCATGACTGGCTTCTGCTTTAGCAGAGTCATGTCAGTCATTATCATCTTCTGTCTCCTCATTTCCCTCCACATGAGTCACTGCTGAGTGGGCACAAAAAGCCACGCCTCCTGCCCCCTCAGTGGACTCTAAAGTTTTCAACAGTATTCACTGATGGAAAGATACAGAGCAAAAGCGCCTCTGCTGAAACAAGAGCTCACTGCACACCATCTTATACAACACATGGACACATCTGCATTTAGTTTCTCTAATTTTAAGAGAACTTCCAATTTAAAAACCAAGTTAACCAGATAGCAGCCAGAGATTCAAAGTGGGACACAATTTTCCCAATGAAACTATCTTTCCCTTTATTAGCAAAAACTTCTGGCACTTCACAGAAAACTCATGTGCTTTTTGTAATACATAGCTAAAGAAAACAGTGCAAAACTGGACTCTGGGCTAACAGTCTCTTTACACAGGTACTGGTTGTTTCCCTTTAAAATTAGAAATGTTATAAGGCCAGGTGTCACTACAGGCTTACACCTGTACTCTTAGCACTCAGGAAGGCTGATCTCAGGAGTTTAAGACATGCTGGAGCAAGAGTAAGACCTCGTCTCTACTAAAAAGAGAAAATAGTCCCAGCTACTTGGGAGACTGAGGCAGGAAGATCACTGGAACCCAAGTTGCTGTGAGCTATGATGCCACTGCACTCTACCCAGGGTAGGAGAGTGAGACTCAGTCTCCATAAATAAATAAATAAATAAAATTAGAATATAATATGATAAATGAATAAAGCAGATGATTTCTGGGCTTTTTTCTCCAAACAGTATAAATAAATTATCATTTCAGATATTTTTAAAGTAATATTACAATAATTAGTTAAAATAACAGCAAAACTGACAAATACAGAATTTGTATATTATCTAAAGATGAGAGCAACCAAAAGAGTTTAGCCATATCCTCATATATTGTGGTTAATATCATCTGTATAATATTCAATAGTTGTAATTAGGTAAAGAAATCCAATAACTAATCTTAAACCTACTAGAGTACATCCTTTTAAGATAATGGATTTTTGTTTAATTAAGACAGAAGCAACAACAGCTTTCTGAACCTTCATTATCATATGCTTTGTATCAGTTATTCAATAAAAAATAAATAAAATCCTCTAAAGAGAAATGTGGTGTCTCCAGATTTAATCCTCTGTGAGGTTCGAGCCCCCAACTATATACTTGTGTGAGAGGGAACTGGTGGCTCAAGCTGTGTAAGGTTAACTGCAGCAAGCATCTATCTTCAGCCTAGTGGCAGAGAACCGACAAATCATATTATTGCACCTTTCCAGGGTTCAGTTCCCGAAGCGCTCATTGCTTTACTACAACAATAGCAACAAAACCCAAGAACATCTTTTAGTACTGGCTACAGCTTAGAAAGATTAATACTTACATTTGAGTTCTTTTACCAATTAAAAATTAACACCAATAAGGCTTTGTCCAGATTTACCACTTTCAGATATTAGAAGCAATTAGCAAGTATATTCATCAATACAAAAACAGAATCAGCCATTAACCTCTAAGAGGACTCAAATATTATCATTCTACTTGGTACCTGATGGCATTTGATGGTGCCAGGGGAACTAAATCAAGTATTCTATTCCACCTCATTTCAAAAGATAAAATGCTGAGCGAGCAAACCTTTTAGTTCCTTTTTCACACACAGTAATGGTTGTGACACTGGCCATTTAAAGAGGATTAGAGCCCAAGTTTGGGTTATAGTCCTCAACATAATTCTTTGTAGCCATCTTTCCCTGTCTTTTGATGGAGATCCTATTTGCTACATCTGACCTTAAAAATTTCTCACCTTGTCACATTTGGTTCCAGCTACTAAGCAGGACACTTCACCTCCAAGACTTTTGGCTGCAGTGATGGTATTTAAAGTAATGGGTGCTAGGGAATCATTTGCATGCTCGGCTATCACCAGGGTACTCTGAAATCGGTGTAAGGAAGCCTAAAAAGAGAAAAGAAAAGAATGTTATCCTAAACCTGCCAGTTGTTAAGTACGTATGCTTTGAAGAGCTATTCCGTAGCAGGGTTGGTCAATCTGTGGCTCACAGGCTGAATATAGATTTGAGGCCTATTTTGCTTTATGTGTGGTGTTAGATATCACAAAAATTATCCACAGACATTTTTTTGCTCATCAGCTTTTATTAGTGTTTGTGCATTTAATGTGTGGCCCAAGACACATTCTTCTTCCAATGTGTGGCAGAAAAAAAAAGGTTGGACACCATGTACACAATACTCAGTTCTATAAATTTATGTATTAAAATTGCAGCAAAAACCAAGCAACGTGTATTTATCACTATACTGCTAATATTATTACCTAATAAAAACTGAAAATGCAAATTAGCTTTTATTATTGAAAAAATTTTAATTATTTCAAAATAATGTTCCCACTAATCTATGTCTAATAAAAAACTAGTACATACCTAAATTTAAAATCCTTAGAGAGAATATACTAATTATGTGAATAAGAAGTGGTCAGATTCTGCCACCAATTACATTCAGTTACATATTACACTCCTACTAAGTGATACAATAATATATCCAGAAACAACCGGTTTGAAACAAATTAATTAAAGTTGATTTCCAATAGCAAAATAATTGATATGAAAATCTGTAATATGACATTAAGCAGCAATTTTGCTGAGGTCTTGACTGTTCAAATATGTTGCTAAATTTTAAAAAAGCACCAGCAGCTTGTAGACAGTTTCTTGGAATCAACCAGTGGATAGCCCTACCTATTTCAGACTGTCAACAGACCACCCATCAATCATTCATAGTCAGCTGTAATAATTTCAAACAACAGGAACAAAAAGATGAACAAGAATGGTCCCTACGTTCAAAGATTCCATGGGAAATAGGACTTGTTCATATACAATTATGAGATAGAACAGTTTTTCAAACAGCAAAGAGATCCAAACTGTTGAAGACTACAGATCATAAAGAACAAGAGTCAAGTGGAAGGAAGGAAGTTAGGTGCTCCGGCCATGTGTAAAAGTGAGTAATGGCACCACAGGCAAAAGGAAATAAGAAAATTTTGGAATTACCTTTGTGGAAAGCAGCAATGAGAAATAAAAAAGAGGGGCACTGTGGATCAAATGGCACAGTTGGGTGGCTTAATTCAGCAATAATCTTAAACTCTGGAGTTAGAGTGAAGAGAACATGTAACATGAAGTATACCCAGAGCTGGAAACTATAAGGAAGGGATGAATGAAAGGAAGCCCGGTACAGGACAGTAATGCTGGTTGCACAAGTACTACACAGCTTGTATAAATAATGTTCTTTTTTTCATTTACTATATTATAGATACAACTGCTACATGTTAATATCATTTACTTTTTTATCAGCACAGTATAGGGCATACCAGTTTAATGAGTCTCTGCAGACATTTGGGTTAGTAGCAATTTTTTTATTATAAACAATGAGAAAAGATCATCCTCACAGCTACATCTTCATATTTATCCATAATAGACAAGAGGTTCTTCTGGTCTTCTTCTAACTGGGACCTGGACAGACTTTATTCTGGCTGTTCTCTTCCATAGAAGACAAAGCCAAATTCTACCCAACCCTCCACAAAATAGGGACCCTCCTTCCCCTACTTCTACTTTATCCCCACCCTTCTAAACACTCTCAACTCCCAATGAACCCAACCCCACAGCTAGGGGTGGGAGACCCCAGGGGTAGGAATACTTCCAGACCCATACCACCCGGAGAGTGAGAGGAGGACGACTGTAGGATATGTCAGAGAAAGGAATCACTGCATCACATAGGTATGATTACATTTCTTATCCTTCTCCTCTCTTTTTTTACTCCAAGGAAGCAAGGAAATGAGACTTTTGTTGCTGCCAAATCACCTGTTTGCATAACTGTTTCTTAAATACAAATTAAAAATTTCTCAAAAAGGGATGTAAAGCTAACATTAGAAATATCTATGTACATCTTAAGATTCTTTTCTTACAACAAATTTCTATAAGTACAAGTGTTAGATCAAGAGATAGGCATACTTTCAAAGCTTCCAATAATAACTAACACACACTATTCTTAAGAAAAGTTGTAGGCTTGGAGCCTGTAGCTCAGCAGCTAAGACACCAGAGCTGGCAGGTTCGAACCCAACCCGGCCCAACCAAACAACAATGACAACTACAACCAAAGAGAAAAAAAATAGCTGGGCGTTATAGTGGGCACCTATAGTCCCAACTACTTGGGAGACTGAGGCGAGAGAATTGCTTAAGCCCAAGAGTTACAAGTTGCCGTGAGCTGTGATGCCATAGCACTCTACGAAATGAGACTCTGTCTTTAAAAAAAAAAAAAAAAAAAAGAAAGGAGAAGTTGTAGCAATTCACAACAGTTCACATTTCTGGGATGGAATGAAAGTTCTGAGAAAGCAAATATCATTCCTATTCCCTTATGCATCCACAGAGTATAATACAATGTTTCTTTTCCAATATATATTACTAGAATTAATTATATGGTACTTTTTCTTTTTTAATCAGAAAACACCATATCTTGTAAAGAACTCTGTAATTAAAACTCAATGGCATAATTTATGGTTTAAATCACATTTCACAAGAATTGCCAGTAACAAACTATTCATTATCAATATATATCAGACACTATATTTTTGATTACATTTCACTCATTGTTTACCATAAAAATTATGTGAATTCTTCACCATTTGAAGAATAAATCTAAGATTTGGTGGCAGAAGGCCCATATTTGCTGTAAATTACAATTCTATCATAAGATAAATTGAGTAGTTCTCCTAAAGCAACTATCAAGCTTTTTAGAACTTCCAGTGGAAGATTGTATATTCTTTTTAGAAGACCACTTAAAATTAGACTTATAAGAATAAACAACAGCAAAAGAAATATTTAAGAACCCACTTGGTCCATCTGTCTGACCAATTTTTACTAAGCATTATATTCATCATAAAGGCATTCTACATATTTTACTAACTGGCTCCTTTTTAATTTATAAAATATTAAACTTTCTGCTGAGTGTTTTACTTTCCATTTTTCAGATGCCACGTGGAGAGAAGCTGTAGCATGTAGGCATAGTTACATGACTTGATTCAGCAATAAAGGTTGTATGCAGCCTGGACTGAACTAATTCATCTGTGACCTATGTTATTTCTCAATCTAGAGCCCAGTTTCCTCATCCAAAAATTGAGGGGGATGAACTCGATAAGAGACTTTCAAACTAAATTACTCCAAAGGAGAGTTACAGGAAGGTACCTTGGGAGTTGCTACAAGGGATGAGGTGAGGTAACAGGCTGTTAAATGTGCCCCCCTCCAGGCTATGCTTCATCCAAATTAACACTGAGAGAACACTATACTTAACAGTTTTATACATAGCATCTTATTTAAACTCATAAAAAACCTACTAAGTAGGTAACATTATTACCCCCACTTTACAGATGAGAAAGAGCTCAGCAGTCACACAGGTAGGGAGCAGAGTCAGGTTATTTATTCTAAGTCCAAGTAATCTGACTCCAAAGTTTGAGTTCTTAATTACCAAATCACATCAATGTACCACCATTTTTAGCTATTTTATATATGGCTCATTTCTTTTATTTTTTTTTTTTTTTGAGATTGAGCCGCAAGCTATCCCCCTGGGTAGAGTGCCATGGCATCACAGCTCATAGCAGCCTCCAACTCCTGGGCTTAAGCAAGTCTCCTGCCTCAGCCTCCCAAGTAGCTGGGACCACAGGCGTCCTCCACCAACGCCAGCTATTTTTTTGGCCATCATTGTTGTTGGCAGCCCCGAGTTAGATTCGAACTCACCACCTTAGGTGTATGTGGCTGGCACCTCAGCCACTTATGCCACAGAAGCCGAGCCATATGGCTCATTTCTGTAAGATTTTACTTAGCAAATATTCTCCTACTTAAAAAAAAAAAAAAAACAGCATTAGTCAAAAAGAAAAGAAAAATATGATCTCAAAGGCCTCTTTTCCTTTCCCTCTGAAAGTTCTGTAATTCTAAAATCCTATTTTAAGTAGAAGAGGGGTACAGAATATGACTAGAGGCAAAAAGTATGCCCATGAGTGAAAAGGTTTTAAAGGAAAAAATTTTTCACTTTATCATCTTATTGCCTCTCTATACTTTAGGACCCTCTTGTAACAGTTATGAGAGGAAAAAGAGCCAAACATTTAAAAATAACTATTGAAATACTGAATAAGGTAACTGCCCAGAGAGGAATCTCACTCTGTTCAAACACTGCTACTTCAATAAAAATTAACGAATGCAAGCAGGACCAGCTTCACCTGAGCATTCAAAACTGCCTAGCAACCCAACTGCGACTTCCTTCTTGGAAATCTCGCTCTCTAGCAACTACTTTAGATATCCTCTCCTGACCTTTTCTTTTCTTTGCTTTTCTTTTTGCAGTTTTTTGGCCTGGGCCACGTTTGAACCCGCCACCTCTGGCATATGGGGCTGTCGCCCTACTCCTTGAGCCACAGACGCCGCCCTCTCCTGACCTTTTCAAATGGCCAACACATCCTGCCCTCTCTAACCTCCCTTCCTACTTCACAATGAAAACTGAAGCGACCAGTGGGGACCTGCTTCCCCTTCCCCATACTCAACATAAAAATTCCTGTCCCTTCCCTATCACAATGGGAGCTATTGTGGACTCCTCCCTCCTGGGTCTGATCCCCCCCTCATCCGGGCTCTAGACTGTGCTCTCTCAAATCTACTCAGAGACTCTTACCATAATCCCCATTCAGTAATGTCTCCAACCTCTCCCTGTCCTCTAGTTCCTTCTCCTTAGCCTCTAAACATGTTTGAAGCACTCCCAATTTTCAATAATCCCCAAATAAAAGAGCCACTACCCCCACATTCCACTCTAGCTACCACCTTCTCCAATTCCTCATCTCCCATTCATGCCTCAATTACTTGCATCTAGTTTCTGCTCTCACCAAAATTACCCACAGACATTTTTCAGGCTGAAATC